AACAATGAGAAATCAAGTACATGCATATAAAAAATAATAATAACATTACACTTACCTTTACTGAAGACTTCTGGGTGGATATAAGATGGGAGGGGATAGGAGGAAGGTGTACACAATTGTTTGGAAGGAGAATCTCCTTCCATTAGGACTTCAGGTATGAAGTCCTTATCTGGGGTTACTTCTTTTCTTTGTTTTTTAAAGACAATGGCACTGGGAACAACTTGAGAGTCACTGGAACCCTGTCGCACAAAATATCTGTCCAGAGAGCTCTGTTTCTGGCGTTTCTTTAAGATTTGTCTGAAGTGGGACACAACACTGTCATTGTACATGTTGCCAATATGACCTGCAAGAGCTTTGTTAGGGTGAAGTTCATCCATAAATGTTTCCACTTTTTTCCACTTTGCACAAATGTCCTTAATCTTTGCAACAACAGCACACTTTATTTCCTTTCCTTTCACCACGATCGAAGTGATGGTTGAATGGGGTTTGCCATATATCCTGGCAAGCTCTGTAACACGCACTCCACTCTCATATTTTTTAATGATTTCCCTTCTTGATTCAATCGTGTTCCTCCTTTTTTACCAAAGGGCTTGCACTAGCTTTTTGGGCCCAGGTGACTTATTTCGTTGAACACAAAAAACAAGGGTTTATTACGTAAACCCGGGGGTGATGGTCACTGTTGGTTAACAAGGGCACACTGTGCGTGAAGGCGTGGGGAAGGCTTTGGTGTGGGGTTTCGGGGGACGGGTCCCAAACTGTCGCCGAACAGAGTCTAATCACGAAACGCGGCCAAATTTTGCATAAAGTCATTTCACGAAAGTGATCGCGAAACCCGGGGGTCCACTGTATACATTTTAGATGAGGAAATGTTTATTCTTGCGAAAGTTTTTTTTTCCAAAGGAATAATCTAGTAACCAGTTTCCAGAAACCCAGTTACCATGATGACTCACTACCAACCGTCTGTGTAAATCACTGACTGTTTTTCATGTTGCTGGCCCATAGCATGTTTTGAATGCCGTCACCCGTGGGCCCCTGGTGGGTCAGTCTGAGTAGAGGCAGTGAGAGGCAGGGCGGCTGATGGTGCCCCCCAATTTTCCCGTTAAATTTACTACTAACCAGCCTACGGGTGTTTTTCCCCATCCACGTCATCAAAACCCCCATGACAAAATTTTGGGGCTTTTTTGTCCCCCTTTTTCCCACTTGAACCTGGTACTAGACCTTTTTTATACTGCATACAGAAAGCCCATTCACAAGTTGCTGTTGCAGAAGAATTGATCAATCAAATGCTTGATGATGGAGTTATTGCACCTAGCAGTTCACCTTGGAATGCACCCTTGATCCTAGTGACTAAGAAGGATGGTACTTGGCGCCCAGTGATTGACTTTAGGAAGTTAAATGCGAAAACTATTCCAGATCGCTTCCCACTTCCTGTACTGGGTGATCTTTTACATAACATCGGAGATGACAAAGTCTTTTCAACCCTGGACTTGTTAAAAGGGTTTTGGCAAGTCCCTCTTGACAAGGACAGCCAAGAGCTAACTGCGTTCTCCACTCCTACAGGTCATTATCACTTCCTCCGTATGGCATTTGGGTTACAATCCTCCCCTATCACGTTCTCAAGGCTCATGACTAATATCTCTAGAGGTCTCATAGGTAATGCACTTATGGTGTACTTAGATGACGTAATCGTCATGTCTAAAGACGTGGATACACACTTGAAAAGACTTGATGTAGTACTTGGTAAGCTTGAAGAAGCCAATTTAAAGATCAAACTGTCTAAATGTCAATTTTTCAGATCAGAAATTAAGTTTCTTGGTCACGTAGTCACTCCTAGAGGGGTTACGACTGACCAAAGTAACTGCAGTACTAAATTTTCCAACTCCCAAAACTGCTGATGCTGTAAGATCCTTTGTGGGCTTAGCAGGTTTTTATAGATCTTTCATTGCCAATTTTTCTTCCATAGCTGTTCCTCTGAGTTGCTTAAGAAAGATGCTCCTTTTGTTCGGACCTTCCATCAAGAAAGAGCATTCCAAACTCTAAAAGAAAAGCTAACATATGCTCCAATTTTGAAATTTCCAGATTTTTCTAAGCCCTTCTATCTGACAACTGATGCTAGTTCTATTGGCATAGGTGTTGTACTAGCTCAGAAGACTGATGGCAAGTACAACACAGTTGCATTTGCTAGCCGAGTCCTTACGAAGGCTGAACGTAATTATACAGTAACTGAGCAAGAAGCTTTAGCAATAGTATGGTCTTTAAAGCACTTCCGAGACATTATTTATCAGTACTCTGTTCATGTCTTGACAGACCATGCTCCACTGATACCTTTATTCCAGAACAAACAACCTATTGGAAGGTTAGCCAGATGGACCTTGACTATCCAAGAGTTCAATCCCACCTTTGAACACTTACCTGGCAAGTCAAATGTAGTCGCAGATGCCTTATCGCGACATGTTAGTATAGTAACTGCAGACCCTCCATTTACTGCCGAAGATGTAAAGAATGCTCAACAAGCAGATCCCATGTGGTCTGGTGTGATTCAATTCCTGCTCCAGGAAGATCTTATTCTGACTGTGAAGCCACCAGCACCCATCAGTGACTTGTCATGAACCAAGAATTACTGTATCGAACAGCCGAGTTGGGTACTCCTAGCAGAAGAGTATGCCAGTTAGTAATTCCACTGTCACTAGTGAATGTTGCCTTACAGCTAGTTCATGATGTACCAGGTGTTGCGCACCCTGGTATGGATCGTTCGGTAAAACAAGCCAGATTGAAATACTTTTGGCCTTGTATGGCAACTGATATTTCTGAGTATGTTAAGAAATGTAGTGTCTGCATGCAACATAAAGGTAATGCTAATGGTCCTAATCCAATCCAAGTGTATCCAACTACTAGCAAACCGTGGGAAAGAGTTGCGCTAGATCTGTTAACTAATTTCCAGTGTTCCCTCCAAGGCAACAAACATCTGTGTGTTATGGTAGACCATTTCACCAGATATTGAGAGTTAGTTCCTATTGCAGATAAGACTGCCAAGACGGTAGCTAAGGCGTTTAAAGAATGCATTATCTACAGGCATACCACCCCTAAGTCCCTAGTAACAGATAATGGAGGTGAATTCTGTAATGAGATTCTTGAAAATTTGTGTACCTTGTACAAGATCTCTAAATCCACCATTGTTCCTCATCATCCTGCCAGCAATGGGTTAGCGGAACGAACCAATAAGAAAGTACTTGACGTCTTGAGAGCCACTATCAATCCCAACAGTGAAACTTGGGATGAAGTTATACCTGATGTGCAGTGTGCTATAAATTCTGCTTACAATGTTTCTGTAGGTGACACTCCACATTAAGCATTGTACGGTGTAGATAAACGCTTGCCTTACAAGTTGCTATATTCTAATCCGAAACCAAATTACAACCCTGATGATTTCATAGCAACTCGTACCAACTTAGCTCAAAGCGTCTTTAGAAGAATCCGTGAAACACTTCATAAATCAACAGCAGAATTTACAAGTCACAAACACTCGAGCAAAGCCGTCCAAAATCAAAGTAGGTTCGAGAGTTAAGCTGACTAACTTTAACAAAACGTCTGCAATGCCTAAGCTTGATCAAAAGTTTGTTGGGCCTTATCGAGTAGTTGAACATATCACTGGCAATAAGTATAAGGTTAGAGATATTAGTACTGGTCAGTATAAAGAATCACATTTAGATCATATGAAGTTAGTATGTGATGATAATGATGTTCCAACCCAGACTAATGTGACAGACTCTGACAATCCTCCTGATCCTGTACTCTACCTCTGAGACTCAGTCAGACGATCAACCTGAATGTCGTTATTCCCTACGTACACGACAGGTATTGAGAAATCCTCAAGTGTCATTTGTAACTACCAATTCAGATTTGCCTCAAATACAGCATGAGTTAGCCAGTGCAACAGAGTTTGATCCTCCCAGAGATGACACCCATTCTGCAAATGTCAATCTCACCCTAGCAGAGTTGGGGTTAAATGTAAATAACCTGTATAGATGAATAATTACAGTATCAACTTATTAACATTTTGTGTTCACATTCTCTCCGAATTCTGAGATTTAACAGTCTAGATTTGAGTGCACCGAATCTGCCTTTCTGTTAAACACTTCTTTCTTTGTATATATTTCTTCCTCAGAATCCGTAGATCACATGAATACAGATCGATCGATCAAAATTTTTTTTATCACTTCTATTGTGTAATCCCAATGTTGAGTTTCATTCGATGAGTTGTGCTATATTATACCTTGTAATGCATTACAGTTTCATTACAGTAAGTTTCATTATAGTCAATTACGTAAGCTTCCATTCCAATATTCTCCTGTTATAATATTCAATTGTTGTGTACTTTGACATTGTATAGAATCAGCCAAGCCGTACACCTGCCATCTCTAGTTTGTATTAGCTGTATGTCGGGACAACATACGTTAGCATCGCCAAGCTCTCAGTAGTACCAGTTACCAGTAACCAGTTACCAGTAGATGACTCACTACCAACCGTCTGTGTGAATCACTGACTGTTATTCATGTTGCTGCTGACCATAGCATGTTTTTGAATGCCGCTCACCCGCTAGGCACTGGTGGGTCAGTCTGAGATAGAGAGCAGTGAGAGGCAGGGCGGCTGATGGTGCTTCCCATACTTTCCGTTATAATTATACGTACTAACCAGCCTACATGAGTGTTTTTACCCCATCCACGTTATCGAACCCACATGACACTAATTTAGCTACATTAGTCTGAGAACATTTAAAAAATAAATCTAAATTTTTATTCAATAAAACCTCCCCTCTAAAATACTGGGAAAATCACCTAATATATACTACATTATAACTACCAGTTAAGTTTGTTTTTTCTGGCACACCACTCACATCCTTTGAACCTGTTCTTGTTGAAATAGGTAATACCATATCTGAAGATTTGATGGCAAGGCCAGGGACATCACGTCTCTACTGGTATACTTAGTGAAACGAGCAATTGTGGAATGTTTTTTAATTAAAAATATATCCTATACTGTGGGGAAAAACTCTAGTGCAAGGCAATGTCAATAATTATCAAGCATGTGCTCATATTATGTAGTACATTTTTCCTAAGTTCTGAGTTTAAAAATAATTTTTTTTTATAAACTACAACAACATTCAACTGCTAATTAACTATTATGCTTGTGTAAAAAGAGCACCAAATATAGTACAGCACATATAACACAAACTTTAAGCATTTATTATGCTATCGTCTGGCTTCCCTATTAAGAGCAAATATCATATACTACTGTACATAAAATAACATCTTTATCAGACCGGTCATATTAAAAACCTTTAAGGAACATTATACCTTACAATCTAAGATCAAATGGTCCCATTGTGCTTGTAAAAACAATTTAATTTGGCATTAATTTCACATTTAAAATATTTAGCTAAATAAATTAAAAACAATCTACATTAATAACATGTTAAGAATGCCAAGATTTCTGTTACCACTTTTACCTTTACAATTCCGGTCCTGCCTGGTCCCACTTAGCTAAACGTACAGCATCAAAGTTTTCAAATTTCCATTTTTGTGTCTCTAGTTGTGGATTACACGTTGACACAAAAATTTCTTTGTTACCAGGATTGCTGTCCAAACAACGTGGATTACCACCATGCACAAGCCACTGCTTTTCCTGTAAATGTCATATTGCAAAAGCAAACATTAAGCTCTAGTTTGACAGAATTTCATATAAAATTTTTTAACTTTCCATATTATCATTGAAGAATTTGTTATTTTTATCTCTGTGTATAAATGTAGCATTAACATTTTTTAAATGACTCTTGACTTAAAAATCAAAGAAAACATGAGCATTAGTCTGTTACAAAGAGGTATAAAACACTATTGTATACATGGTAGTGAAGCATGAGTCTGCAAGAGAAACATGCATAAGAATATACCAGTAGCTAAACTATAGTGAAACTGTTAATAGGTATAGAAGCATTGACTTGCTTTAACCATTCATGTTATGATCCTGGGGATTGACCCACAAAAGTATTTATTATTATGAAACTGCAATGTTGTCTTAATTATTGTAAGAGAAAAATACAATATACTTTATGTAAAGAGGATGTAAGTAAACTCATTTTCGTTATTCACTACCACTCAAGAATACTGTATGTACTATTTAATTATCAAGCAAACATATCAAGCAATGCATTTTGATGAAATTTTTAGAGGTGCTCACATACTATGGGTTATCAATGTAGACAAAACTAGATTGTTTTTTGTGATATAAAATAAAACATCATACATAGGTGGAGTGAGGTAATGTCCTTGATCCCACTTTATAAAACACTGATTAATACTTTAAAGTAACTAATTGTCAGCCTATGAACTGTTTGGCAGGTTAGAAGGTCGTCACTACAAACTTAAGACGATTCATTTTTGCAACAAACTAGTTAATGCAGAATATCTCACACCTAATAAAATGTTAGTATCACCATACTGTGGCACATTTCCCTATTCTGTCTCCTAAGATAAACTTTTCTTTCCACAGATGACTCAACACACCACATACATTTTCTCCATCTATTTTATTGTTCACTTTGTCTTTCACAAACCCATTTGCCAACATTTCACTCCTAATTACTACTGATTGCAAAAAGGATTTAAGAGTTCTGGTTAGCAGTAATCTGGTTTGTTCTGGTTAGCAGTAACCTGAAACCAAGACAACAGTGCATAAGTGTTCGCAGTAAAGCTAACAGAATCCTTGGCTTCATAACAAGAAGTATAAATAATGTTAGTCCTCAGAAAAAAAAAACCATACCACGGGCGGGGATAGAACCAGCGATCAGAGAGTCTCAAAACTCCAGACCATCGTGGTGTGGTTTGTTTGCAATCATGTCATTACGATTTCATGAGTTATAAGTCCTCAGGTTGTTCTTCAACTCTATATATCCTTGGTTAGGCCTCATTTAGATTATGCTGCAAAGTTCTGGTCACCATATTACAGAATGGATATAAATACACTGGAAAACGTACAGAGGAGGATGACACAGTTGATACCATGTATCAGAAATCTTCCCTATGAGGATAGACTGAGGGCCCTGAATCTGCACTCTCTAGAAAGGCGTAGAATTAGGGGGGATATGATTGACAGTGTATAAATGGAAAACAGGAATAAATAAAGGGGATGTAAATAGCATGCTGAAAATATCCAGCCAAGACAGGACTCACAGCAATGGTTTCAAGTTGGAAAAGTTCAGATTCAGGAAGGATATAGGAAAGCAATGGTTTGGTAATAGAGCCGTGGATGAGTGGAACAAACTCCCGAGTACAGTTATTCAAGCTAAAACGTTGTGTAGTTTTAAAAATAGGTTAGATAAATACATGAGTGGGTGTGGGTGGGTGTGAGTTGGACCGAACTAGCTTGGGTTACCAGGTCTGGTGCCATGCTCCTTCCTTAAGTGGAAGTGACCTGACTAGGTGGTCATTGTTCTAGCCCAGGGGATGGTATGGACCTGCTTCGCATAGGTCAGTAGGTCTGTTGCAGTGTTCTTTCTGTCTTATGTTCTTATATCTACATACATTTACTTCCTCTCTCCATGGGAAAATGGAGAAGAATCCTTTCCCGTACGCCATGTGTGTTGTAAGAGGCAACTAAAATGCTAAGAACATGGGGTTAGTAATCCTTTCTCCCGTGTGAAGTACTAAATGGAAAAATAAAAACTGTTTTTTTTTTCTTTTTCAGGTGACCCTCCCTTCAATTTAATCTATCACTGCCCAGGGTCGTGGAGTTGGCACATAAAACCTTCAACTCCAACTCCTCTATTTATGACACCTCTGACTCCGACTCTGTTATTTATGGCACCTCCAACTCTGACTCCTTTAACCCTTTCAGGGTTTTTGACGTACTAGTACGCCTAAATTCTAGCGCCCTCAAATCTAGTGAGAGAAAGCTGGTAGGCCTACATATGAAAGAAACTGTGATAGCCTGAGCTTGCTACCATCTGCAGCTCATAAGACTGCCATCCCCATGAGCCCCTTTGGGACAGGGCAGATGGCAGACCAGAGGCCTAGCTTCTCCCTACGAGCCCCGTGAGGGCGGTGACTGTGGCTAGGCCTGGGGACAGTTGGTCCCAAAGATGAGGGGGTACTTGTACCTCCTCCCATGAGAGACTTACGTCTCGAGATACTCCCCAGATAGGGAGCCAAGGCCGGGTCACCACTACTTGGAAAAGACCCAGGCCGGGAGAATACCGGCGAATAAAAAAAAAAAATATGAAAGAATGGGTCTATGTGGTCAGTGTGCGCGGTATAAAAAAAATCCTGCAGCACACAGTGCGTAATGAGAAAAAAAAATTTGACCGTGTTTTTGGATTAAAACAGCGACTTTGCACTGTATTTTCGTATGGTATTTATTGTTGTATTCTAGTTTTCCTGGTCTCATTTTATAGAATGGAAGACATATTACAGAAATTGAGATGATTTTAACTGGTTTTACAAAGAAAACTACCTTGAAATTGTGCTCAAAGTAGCAGAAATGTTTGATTTTTACCAAAGTTCTAAAGTAAACAAATCATGCTATGCGTCCAATGCGCGTCAACTGGTGAGTCTAATATTCTTTCACAAGTGCGCTGATAATATTTATACCATTTCTACACCAATGCAGTATGTAAAGTAAAAGGACACAAGTGCAACTAATGTAACATTTTATTGTGGCAATGTTTCGCTCTCCAGGAGCTTTGTCAAGCCGTTACAAACAGTACATGGACACAGCGGGTATATATAGGCTCAGAGTGAGGTGCAATACTAGTGGTAGTAGTAGTAGTAGTGATATAAGTAGTAGTAGTAGTAGTAATACAATATGTTAGAACAATTAACTTGCACATGAATAAAGGATATAAAAGCTATTACTTGGGAAACATAAAAATTGGTTAGACAAATATTTATATTTTTATGTTTCCCAAGTAATAGCTTTTATATCCATTACTCACGTGCAAGTTAATTGTTCTAACATACTGTATTACTACTACTACTACCACTAGTATTGCACCTCACTCTGAGCCTATATATACCCGCTGTGTCCATGTACTGTTTGTAACGGCTTGACAAAGCTCCTGGAGAGCGAAACGTTGCCACAATAAAATGTCACATTAGTTGCACTTGTGTCCTTTTACTTTACATATTGTCGGTAATTCTACCAACTTTATTACCAATGCACTAGTCTGCATAACAGTAAATCTTTTTTTTGTGAGAATAAAAATACAAAGTGGAAAGCAAAAGAATGTAAGAGGGGCATGGGGATGTGACTAATGAACAGAGGAAATGTTATTTTAGTGCCAGGAATGTCTTTCTTGTTTATTCTGGACCCTATTCGGAAATTGGCATCTTTTGAAATTTGTGTGAAATTGGCAAAATTGCTAAATTCTGACCACTGTATTGGATAGTTGAAATCGGTAAATGGGTGGTTTCTTGTACTCATTCAATAGAAAAAATGGAGTTCTAGCGAAAGAGTTATGATTTTTGTCGACAAGTACACTGGAATTGGGCAAAAATAGGGATCAAAGTGGGCAAAATTGCCGATGCGTAAACATAGTCGAGACCGCTAACTTCGCGAGAGCATAATTCCGTAAGTTTTCCATCAAATTTCATACTTTTGGTGTCATTATGATCGGGAAACGATTATCTATCTTTTCACGAGAAATTTTTTTTTTTTTTTTTTTTTTTTGAAATTTGGCCGACCCTGAGAACAAGTCTCTGAGAGGGCCTGTCGACCCTGAAAGGGTTACTTACGTTTTACCGACTCAAACTCCGACTCCAGTAACCCAAGAGTTGCTTCCAACTCCACAGCCCTGGCTAATACCACATTTTTTTTTTTTTCAAATTAAATGCATTCTTGAAATCTAATTTTACCACTACATTGTCCTCAGGCAGGTTGTTGTTACAGGGCTGTGGAGTCAGCATATAAAACCTTCAACTCCAACTCCTTTATTTATGGCACCTCCGACTCCAACTCCACAGCCTTGTGACAATGCCTAGACTTTTTGCTACCTTCATCACCAACTTTTACTATCTGTTTAAAAAACATGCTTATTCCAAGAAAGTCTTCACCCTAATGCTAATGGGTTGACAGTGTTGCACTAGAAATGAAACAAGATTGCTTTCTTTCTGTTTGTAAGAATTACATTAGACTTTTGAAAGTATGTTATTAATAGCCTTGTGTCATCATGCCATGTGCACTTTGCCGTCACCACATTTCTCAAGGAAGCCATGACATACAGCATTCTAACCTACATTTTGTGAGTAAAGTTACTACAGTATTATGCAGTTAAAATTTGTGATTGATACATTCTTATAGGCTCCCACAAATTCAAAATGTAAATGCCACCCAATTAGTGAATTGCAAAAAAATTCTGTTCAAGCTCATGTTGAAGAGGCCAAACAGCATTTTTTAAATACATTCCGCCATCACAAATCTGGCAATCAGTTATTTGGTTCCTTCAGTTATTCGGCACTAATTTTGGCTAGCATAATTTCAATTTCCAGGGTCGCCACACCAACCTTCTGGTACTGTCTGGTGGCGCTACTTGCTGCATAAGTCATTCCAATTTCTTTTTCTCCATTTATTGTTTTAACCTGCTTACTTTTAGCCCTAGCCATGGTTCCAGTGAATGAAAAAAAATGCTTCTC